TAGGGTTTAGGGTTTAGGGTTTAGAGTAGGTATATGGTATATACTTAGGGCCCAAAGGGGTTCCCATGTACCTACTTTAAGGCCCAAGTATACCCCATATAGCTACATGGACCCTTTGGGTATGTACCTTCAAAGGGGATATATAGGATATATCGGGGTTCTATTAGGATGTATAGGGTTTGGGGTTTCGGGTTTTGGGGGTTAGAGTCTTAGGCTTGAGGGTTTCAATGTTTTAGGGGCGAGGTTTTTTAGGGGTTAGGGTTTCGGATTTAAGGGTTAGGGTCTTAATGTAGAGTAGACCCATGATTAATAAACCCCCTCCTTCTGAGGGCCTTCACATTAGGATCACGATTATACTCCCTATTAAGGGGATGTACACATTATGGTCACCCGCTGGGTCCCTAGTCACTAGTGAGCACGCCACCTAGTAATCTAGTACATAGGATACCTCAATAGGGAGGTCTTTTTGCAAGCTTCCTTATGGGCTTTCATACATCTCCATATGAGCCATAGTCTAAACTCCTCGTATCCACCCTGATAACCCCGACAGTAGTCCCCTATATAATATGTATATATATATATAATATGTGACCCCTTTCAGGGAGTTTAGACTATAGCTCATATGCTCATGCCATGTTTTGCTTTCAAGCGCTCTTGACGACACAGGAGGAGAAGAAGAGGAGGAAGAGGCCAGAAGTCGACCCAGAAGAAACAAACGCGGATGAGGCCAGGTTCAGTGGGTTTATGGTTTAGGGTCTATGGGCTTATGGGTTATATCATTAACATACTCTTATAACTACTACAGTTACCATTTTTACCACTCGCTTCTGGAGAGGGTTTGCGGTTACGGGTCTATTAGAATTTGGGCGCTTTACCGAACATATATGTATATATATATATGTATGTATACATATGTCTATATATGTATACACATAGCTGTATACAAATTATATACCCCATACCCCTCAAAGAGTGGGGTCCGCTTTTCTCGTTCCTTCAGTTTGCAACGTGGGCATTTTTCGTGCTGGCCGCTTTTGAGGAAAAGGAGTTCGAGAGACAATGGGTGCACAGAATGTCGGGGCAATCTGTGCAATGTCAATGTATCCTGAGATTTGGCGAAAACAGCCTGTGTATTGTCATCGCTCGAACTGCTGATGCCTGTGTCAAAGAATGGAAGTTTGAGGGCTTCGGGGCCAGAGCCCAATGCCTATGGCTTGGAACCCTAATCCCAGGAACCTGAACATTTTGCTTGGCTCTTGGACCCGCATACAATTACATAGTGGGGAGAATCATAATTAGAGAGTTAACTTAAATTAACCCTCAACCCTAAACCCGAACCCCTAGCCCTGTTGGGGGAGGCGATAAGGGGTATTATATTAGGGTATACATTGCGGCCAGTAGGGAGTAAGGGAATATGAGGGCTTCTCGAAAAGTTTCCCCATAAGTCGTTTACGATGACCCACATAAAGCTGATGTAATCCCGTACATGCCTTTGATCCCCAGAAGCCCCCCGCCGTAGAGAAACTCCCATATCTTGAGAGTTCAGAGGAGCCGAAGACAAGCAAAGATGAGGCGGATCCACAGGAAGCAAATCAGGAGGAGGCCTGACTTAAGGGGCCAAAAGTTCAGGCAAATTTCGGGTTTGGGATCTCAGGTTGGGGGTCAGGGGGGGGGTAGAGATTAAGGTTTTAGGGTTCAGGGCTTGAGGTTTGGATCTATGGGTTGGACTATAAGGTTAGGGTCTAGATTTTTATTGTTGTGCAGTTTAGGATTTGAGGTTCAGGGCCTAGGGGCTTACAGTCTACGATTTCAGCTTGAGTGCCGAGGTCTGTGTTCCGTTCATAAGAATCACCAAAAAGGAGCCCATTTTCAGCCCTCGCCGGACTACCCTGCCAAGGTTTGCCTTCAATAGGCTTTAATTATCGCCCAAATACGCATAGAAAAGGTGGAGCCCAAGGGGGAGTAGCGAAGGAGGGGGCAGTAGGTGGACCCGTGACATATTTGTTCGTAAAGCCCAAACCCAAAGCCGCCGGTGCATATTTGAAGTCCAAGGGGTTCCTTGTGCGCGCCAAAGTACGTTCAGTTTAGTGTATTATTGTACCATGACATAGTATTTTATCGTAGATTATAGTTATAGTATACCATAATATAGTATATTATAGTAGATCATATTATATTCGGCTTCTTGGAGACACAGGACATGTGAATCCCGTCCGCCGCCCTCTGGGTTGCGCTTAATAGTTGTGGTGCGAAGGCCATCATGTGAGGCTAGAGGAAGCACATGGGGTGGGCATGGCAACATATACCCCGACCCCCCTAACCCCTATTTCAGAAGCTTCAGATGCTCTTTCAAAACCCTAACCATGTCCCCAGCAGTTGGGTGCTTGGGATATTCGACGCTAGAATCGTAGTACAGGTTTTGCTCATGCATGTGATTATTGAGGACGTCACCAGGGTCCCTCCTTGCAACGTTAAGTAAATAGGGTATATGATCCATTATGGTCCCCTATAGTTGGTATTTAGGGTATACCTGAAGTTTGGCCCCCCCGCTAATGGTGGTACTCTCGGAATATGTGAGGACCCTAGTATTGTCACGATTATCCCATGGCGCTCACTAGTAGTTAGCGGGGGCCCGACCCACTCTCTGGTGTACAGACGGTAGATTGAAGGTCTAGGCAGATAAATGTTACGTTGGGCTCCCACCCACTAGTAGTAACAACAGAGGATACCGTAAGGTCCTTTTCTAGTTTTCATACACCACTCTTACTGGATGGGGGCTCAGCCTAAGGTAGCAGGCATGAAGTCCTGCAGCCTTCAACCTCGAGGTTTAGATCGGCAACCTTCCATCCCGAAAGTGTCACGTTCAGCGTTTATGGTTGGGGGTTGTAGAAGTCTTGATAACCACCAGGCAAAATTATGGCCCCTGATTCCTTGTGGAAGTATGGAAGAAGGTACCTCAAATAATTAAACTTCAATATGATCGTAGTAATCCGGCAGGCTTCCCCATTAGTGTTGTCTGGGTAGTTGCTGGGTAGCCTGTTTATGTATTCATGCGTACCTGAATCCAATGCGGATAAGAAGCTTCTTTTGACAAGTGCCTCCACAACTTTCAGCTCGAATTAAGTAACTTTTGGGGAGGGTTTAGGGCTATAATGGGGTTATATTTTGGTCATATTGGGATAAGGGAAAATAAAATGGAAACTACTATTGAGGGCTTAGGGTTTAGGATTCAGGGTTTTAGGGTTAAGGTTTGCGATTTAGGGGGGGCCTAAACCAAAAACACCCTGTAACCTAAACCCTAAACCCTAAACCCTTAACCCACCCTAAACCCTGTAACCTCCCGCCACCAAGCCTACCTTCAAGGGGCTTTCGGTCGTTCGTGGAGCCACAAAGTGGAAGAATCTTGGCTACTGTTAAGGAACTTCAATTAGTTTAACACGAGGACATACACTGAAGTATTACAGGATTTCCTTCTAAACCCTCTGAAGTATAAGTTGTCCTTCTCAATTATAGGGTCTCCCCTTCTGAGCGATGTGGATCATACATTTTCCTCCTAAACCGTATGAACTCTAGGGTTTCCTTAACCCTAAACCCCTGAACCCTAAATCTCTAAATCCCTGAACCCTAAACCATGAATTATGGGGTTTCCTTCTAAACAGTAATGCTTGGGTACTGCCCCCCCTCAGTAACAATTGGATAGCAATTATAATATGGTTCTATATAGCCCTTAATAGGACCCCTAATATAAACCGTTATGGAGAGGTGGCAGTACCCAAAGTAAACCCTTCAATCTTAGGCTCCTTGACAGCAGCCTAGGAAGGGTCGGCCTCTCTTCGAGCACGGCAACTACAGCAGCTGCTGTGCTCAAAGGGTTACAGAGATACTAAAGGGAGTTGGGTGTTTAGGGATTTAGGGCTTAGGGATTTGGAGTGTAGGATTTAGGGTTCAGAGATTTGGAGTTTAGGATTTAGGGTTAGGGATTCGGAGTTTAGGATTTAGGGTTTAGGGATGTAGGTTAAGTACCACAATCCCCTCAATAAGGACTCCATGGTTGTCATACTACTTCAGGGTCCTTCTTAAACCTCCTGGTGGGGTCACCAAAGTCCTCTTATCAAGAGACTTGAGGCCGGTACCCTAATTGCCTAAAACGTCAGGGTGGGGCTTTGCGAGCAGACCAAAAAATCGGGATAGCTGGTTTATTCTGGGGCTTGATGAGGGGTTTAATTTTGCTTACTAAGTCCCCTGACCCCAAATACCCATTCTGCTTGGCACATAGACTCCGAGTGGTTTTGCGAACTAAGATACCTAAGCAAAGGGCCGTGTGTCTCGGGAGGCTCTTCTGTAGCTTTGTTTGGGGCCTGTCGTTTTTGGGCGAGAGCTACAAGCGTACAAAGTAATTAGCCCCGAAAGGGGCTGGTGGAAAGATGCTTCAGAGCCTACGTACCATGTTTTACAAACCCCTTGACTTTGGCAACTTCATAGCTATGGTGCTGCCACCTCCCAGAATCTTCAAGGTGTGTCTTGCCTTTCCGTCCCATGCTTCAACTGAAGCAATCATAAAGCTTTCGCCTTAAAACCCTCGAACCTTGCAACCCGACTCCCTGGACCTTAAAGCCCCTACATCCTAAGAGCTTAGGGTTCTGGACCTAGAGCCCAAGATCGGTTGTTAGTAGGGTATGAGGAATGGACTTGTGTCGCAGGCGGCCTATGCTCCTGATTATGAGGGTTGGGGTTACTCAAACCCCTTATTTGAACCCTATACACCCTAAACCTTCATTTAACACCCTAATCCTTAAAACGCTAGCCCTGAACCCTCAGTAAAATTCCAAACCCTAAACCCTTATTACAGTCCTAGAAGGCTACTACGGCTACCGGCATGCGCCCGGCGAGCGTGGGGACAGCGATCGCCGGCTTGTTGCCCTTGCGGACAGGTAGGGCTTGGGGTTGTATACAGTGATAAGGGTTTTGGGGTTTTGGGTTCAGGGTTTAGGGTTTAGGGTTTAGGGTATAGGGTTTGGGATTAGGGTGGTAATGAGGTATTTGGGGGAATGGAAAAGAAGCTGGAAACTACCACGTGCCGAGGTTTTCATTATTAGAGAGAGCAGACTGAAAGAATTTCTGTACCAGATGTAGTGTCCTAACCGATGAGGGTAGGGACTTGGGCTCAACCTTAGAAGGGTTTTGCAGTGGGTTTAGGGTTTGAGATTCTGCAAGATAAGCAGCCCTGCCAAAGCATAATGGATAGCAAGGATCTGGGGTCTCGCGATCTGGAGAAAGTGTTTTTGGTGAAGGGCAGCAAGTTCCTCTGCTTCATGTTATGCTTATCCTAGAAACATGTAGAGGCTTGGAAAGAGCTTCTTCAAGCGAAAGGAGGTCCTGGACATTGGCTGCCTCTCAGCTGGAAAAGAAAGACCCAAGAGGCATCTCCAGCTTGGTGCACTCTCGGAGTACGAAGCGGGTTTAGGGTGCTGTGTTGTACGTGTGGCAACAAGAGTAATGAAGGGCAGAGGCTAGCGCTAAACCTTCAAACCATTCTGGTATTCGCGCCTAGGGCGTGATGGGCTCTACCCCCCTAGATAGACATGGCGCTTGCGCTAGCCCACTTTCCAAAGCCCTTTGTGGCTTCCTTGTTCGTTTGGGGTTGCCTGTTCGTAGGCGAATGCACACTACAGCCATGTTTGTCTTAGTGTGAGGGTGGCCAAGGCCTTTCCCTTGAGGTGTATAGAGTCTGGGGTCTTTGAGTGTAGGGTAAAAACCCTAAACCCTAAGCAAGGGAAATGACTATGTAGGTGTCTGAGGCAGCATATGATGCTAAGTTCGGTGAATGTAAAGATTTGGGATGTCCAGCATGTAGCTCAAGTCATGTCATACGCTTTTTTGGAGTGTCAGGCAACTTGGTAGATTAGCTTAACAAGGGCAATAAATCCTGTTATGTATATCGCCTTTCAGGGGGAAACGCATACCTGCCCAGACTTGCCGTGCCCCCCACCTTCCCACAACCTCAAAGCCAGAATCTGAGGCAACGCCGGCCTGGTATCCTTGGCCATGGCCCGCGAGTTCAGCGTTGCTCGGGTTGCTCCTAGGCCCAAAAGTTGTGATCATCTGCCAAGGCAAGACCTAGGGAGATCTCAGAAAAGATTGCGCCTAGGGATTCTTAGATATTTGGGGACTGTAAGGGGAGTTTGGACTTCTGCTTCTTCAGATGAAGTCGAGATCGACTTGAGAAACTCTCACTTCATCTGCTTCCATGGAAAATAGGCGAGCACGGCGATAGCAGGCAGGTCCGGTCAACTGGCCACCTTATGTGAATGGTGTGAAATACTAGCAGTTGAGAAAAATAAATGTTTGAAGAACCAAGGCTAGATATGTGCTTCTCAAAGTCGGGGACCCTTTTCTGCCCCCAATCCAGAAACTGGAGGAATTTGTGGCATGTTCAGTCCGCAGCTCTTATAGCCTTCAAGAGAAGAGGGACTTCTTGCTCTGAGCCTAGACCTACCTGGACCCCAAAAATAGGTAAAATGATGACCCAAAACATTTAAACATTGCCCAACAGGCAATCATTCTACATACTTTTGGAGTTCAGGAAATTTCCTAGACCCTCCTCCTACCCTCTATTAGGGCCTAAGTACCCACTATTAGGGACCACATATATCTCCAATTAAGGGTACGAGGAAGGTCCTGGTTCTAATCCCTGCCTTCATGTTGAGCCAAGGTTGGGATGGACCTGGATGCGGACTTGATCGAAGCTGCCCAAGCGAACTACTCATGTGAGATGGACAACCTGCAAGGCTAGGGTTTATAGGGTTTAGGGTTAAGGGTTTAAGGGTTTAGGGTTAATGGTTTAGGGTTTAGGGTTTAAGGGTTTAGGGTTTAAGGGTTTAGGGTTTAGGGTTCTTGGGGCTTGGGGGTTGTTCAGGGACCACTTGGGGGGTCAGGGGGCTTGATTAAAGTATACTTATATAATGTAAGCCTGTGAGCCTTGTAATTATTCAGTTATCCCCAATCTTAGCGTACTTACCCCAAGCCCCCCCCCCCCCACTTTGCAAGTATGGTCAGAGAGGAGCCCAGCGTCCGTTTTTGAAGCAAAAATACGGTTGGGCCTGTTCGGGCTCGATCTTGTAGCTTTTTGCCCCCATCAGCCAAAGATGTCGACATACATGTGCCTGATATTGCTGAACTTATCTGTTCGTGTACGCGTGGGAGGCTTTGGGCAGTCCATCGAATTTGAGCCTCATACTTCATACGCTAAGCTACGTTTAATTCCGGAGGAACTGAGCCCTGCAAGACCTCACCAAGTCTAAAACTGGAACTCTCGGTCCCTGCTCCTAAGTACATTGGGCTACATTGGGGTTTCTCAAAAATTAATTCGTTATACAATCCTAAGGACTCCCATCATCCTCCTACAATCCATATATCATCTCCCTTGGGTCCCAGCGTGCTCCTTATATCTCCCTTGGGTCCCAAAGTGCCCCCTGTTTTTGCAAAGCTCCTAAATATAACCCAAATATACCCCTAATATAACCCCGTATAACCCCAATATATCCCTAATATAACCCCCATATAACCCAATATAAGCCCCATATAACCCCCATAGAACCCGAATAGAACCCCCATATAACCCCAATAGAACCCCAATACATGACCAAAGGTATCGTCGAGTTCCGACGCGAAGACATCCTCAGTTGCCCCCTGCGGCGCGGGCCGGAGGAAACGCCGGAGCGCTTCGATGACGCTTGGCTGGAGCAAGGGGCTTTTGCCCAGAGGGTCCATGTACCTAAGAATTAGGCCCATTTAAAGGGAACTATAGGGTTATATAGGGATATATGGGGTTTAGGGTTTGGAGCAAGTGGCTGTTGGGTCTAGGGCTCCTAAAGTTTCTATGGTAAATGGTATATTACTTTAAGGTATTATATTATCTACCACAACAAGGACTGCGTACCAAAAATGTTGGTATCTTTACCCATCTTTCAGAAGTCTAAAATTATGCTAGGCAGGTTGGCTAAGGATCAGAGCACCTAAACAGGATGTAATTTGGGCTTCATATATATATATATATGTATTCCCAGGTAGGGCTGGGTTTGCTTCAGTTTCTCAATGGGCGGCTTTAGCTTCTATACACGAAAGGTCCATCAGCAAGGTAGATTTGTGAGTATTCTGGCGAGGGAGGACTACGGGGGCACATTTGGGCCTTTAGGTTTCAATGCTGATGCAGTCCGCGTAGCATGCCTTCTTAATCTCGGGCTAACGTCTCCATACGCGTACGGGTTGGGTTTTATTTTGCACTGGGCTGTGAGCCCCAATAAAACTGATTCCACTTCACAACGGCCGTATACCCCCATGCAACCCCTTGCTTGAGGTTATGATTTGCCATACCCCCATGCAGCCATTGCTTGAGGTCGTGCTGTGCCTCTCTGTGACCAAGTGGGTCCACTTCGCGCATGGGGATACTGGCATCCGCAACCTCTTCAAGCGAGTCTTCAAGAGGACAAGGCAAAACGGAAACAAGAGCAAGAAACTACATGTTGTTCTTGAGCACGGTGACTAATGTCACGGCATCTTAGTGAGGGACGCAAGTGCTGCCCCAATTGAACGTGGGTAGAGCCTCACGGTTTTGTTACTTCTTGTGTCCGTATCAAACCGATTCCAGTTTTATGAAGTACAAGATTGGTTATCCGCCTTTGGGTGGAGATCTTTGCATACGCTTTTCAGGATTGCTCACATGGATCCGAGGTCATCTGAGGCGGTCTATGAAAGCACACTGCACAAGTTTCGGCAAACGGGCACCAACATAGGACCCTCATCTTGTTCCCATGCTTGATCGCCTGGGCCCTGAACCTCAAAAGAAGCCTACGCAACCAAATCCACTCCCCAAACACAAAATCTTCGCAACCCTAGGCCCTAGACCCAAATTTGCCCGAACCCCAGACCCTTCAACCCAAAAACAATCCTCTCATACTAATACTAGAACCCCTAAGCCCTGAAGCCCAAAATCCACGCCTGAAAATCCTAAATCCTTTGAAGACCGAACCCTTTTCAACCTGAACTGCATAAAGCCTAAACCTCCTAAACCCTATACTATACCTTGAGTCCTTGAAACCCTGAACCCTAAACGCATTAAACCCAAAACCGTTATAAAGTCCCTGAACCCCATACCCCTCAAACTTTGAACCCCAAATCCAGCCCCAGACTTAAAAATGCAGAGCCCCTAAACCCGTGACACTAAAGCCCCTTCAATCCTTACAGCCCTAAACCCTAAACCTGAACCCCCTACACCCCAAAATCCCCTAACCCAAAATCCTTAAATCCCGAAGCCCTACACCCCAAACCCTAAGCCCTCAACTCTAAAACTCTCAAAGCTCTGAACCCTAAGCCCTAAACCCTAAGTCCAGGCCTGGTGGCTACTTCATCCTAGAACCCCAAGGATGGGGAAGCTACAAGAAGACCTTGGTCTTTATGGGAATGTCCTAAAATTAGAAGTACCCTGTTTTGGGGGTCCCTATAATAAGGACTGTAGTATTTTGGGTCTATATTGGGGTCCCCTTATTCTGGGAAACTACCTTATAGGGCTTGTAGGGTTTATGGGGTTTAGGGCTTAGGGTTGAGCGATTACAGGGTTAAGGGCTTAGGGCTTAGCCTTTATAGGGTTTAGGGCTTTGTATTTTCCAGTGTTGGATTTTTTTTCATTTGGTAGAACGCCACTCTCGCATATCCAATTCGGATGGTGGATATAGAGATATGCTTTCAACGTTCTACCCAACAAGGAAGCAGCGATTGGCGTTGACTTTTACGGGCTCTTGTTTTGTTGAACGCTTTGGCTAAGGGTGTAGCGTGTACTCAGGACTATACGAAGCCCTTGACCGGACACCCTAGACCCTACACCCTGAACCGCGGAGTTTCCGGACAACATGGCAAGGCAACGGTGCTAAGGCGGAACGGATTTGGCCCACTATGTAGGGTTTCTCAAGACGGCCTCGAAGTAGCACCATGAGGACCCCCTTAATCTCTATACAATCCTAATGTATCCCTGGCTGGCCTCCCTGGATTGATTAAACTAAACTCCCATTTAGAAGGTCCCTCAGGGAATATCATCCCTACATCGCACATCCCAATATGGTTATGCCATCATTCTCTATGAACCCCCAGTAAGACAAAGGAAATACATTGGAGGGTCCACGCCAGGAGCGCTTCTTCAACCCAAGACTTTTGCTGCTGCGTTGTTCTTGGAAATGAACTAGGACTTATTGGTTCTTAGTAGGGAATAAGCAAAATATTTTATAGTTAGCTTTCATCTAGGGATCATAGTCCCTCTTCCCTACTTGGAACCAGTAAGCTTTAGCCACTCCGCTTCTGACTTGGAAAGCCATGCAGGCTCACGTTTTATGGGCGGTTTACTGTTTAGCGATTAGGGTCTAAGGTTCAGGGTTTAGGGTTCAGGATTAGGCTTGCGGTGTCATACTAGGTCTGCCAGATGTCACAGTAAATTTGTGACCTGCAAGACTTCGACCTCCCCAAACGCTCTAGCCAGCCATATAAGCCTAAATGTGCAACCTATAAAATTGAAAAAGGCCAAAAGATTCCTAGATATCCAAATCGCCCAATTTACTCGTAGGTAATATTTACAGACTTTAGGGCCTGACGTAGGTACTATTTCTCTACTTGGATTTCTCTGGGATACTCACACTCCAACTTCATAAGCGCTCTTAACAGTTCAGCCCAGGAAACGCCACATCACCCGAGCTATCCGGGACACTGTTGCGTCCATCGAGCTGCGCCCAGAGGTGGCTTGGGGTTAACTCACCCAAAGGATGTTTATGGTTTAGGGTGCCAGGGTTTAGACTGATATATGGTTCATACTTAGGGCCCAAAGGGCTTCCCATAAACCTACCCTGTAGCCTAAGTATGCATTATATGCTGAGGTTATTTCTCTAGCTCCGAAGCGCCCACACTAGGTATCAAGTACTCCTATAAGAAGCCACCCCCCAAGGATTCGTACAGGGATAATGTAGCGGCGAATCTACCTTAACCCAGAGGAAGCATCATTTGTGGACTCCAGGCCCCAACGTAGGTTTTATTGGTATTATTCATAGGCTTCTTGCATTACAAGCTACAAGGCGAAGCTTGGGGCCGTATACATTAAGCAGCCTGAATATTGTTATTCAGAAGTCTAGCACGAATGTCACTAGAATGTTTAGGTTCCATAACCCTAAACCCTAAGCCCTTAACCCTAGACCCTAAACCCTAAACCCTACCCTGCTTCTCAACAGAGGCGTAGGATTCCCACAGAGCGACGTTGTTCAAGATCCAGGGCTCCAGGGCTGTAAATGTTTTAGCGTGTTTTGATTTTGCTAGGTTGCTGCTAAGGACCTTAGTGTAAGTTACCATATGATGGGTATGCAGGAAAGAATGGAGTTTCCTTACTATTGTACATAAAAAGAGGTCCTTTAAACCCTAAACCCTAAACCCTAAACCCTTAACCCTAAACCCTAAACCCTTGACAGCAAGCCAGTTGCCTTGGGCGGAGGCCTTTGCCGAGTGCCTGGTCGAGATGGGTTTTGAGCAGATCGACACCATCGAACCCCCAGGTCCATTGTGCGTCGACGGTTGCTGCTATGGAGTGTAAACCAAGTTATTATCATGTGAGCTTTAGTCTAAACTCCTTTAAGGGGGATTCATGTCCGTGGTTTTACATGGGATTGTTTCAGGAGTTATTAAGGGGGATACTAGGAGTTCAGATTTTAATATATCTGATGAGGGTATGTAGTAAATACAAGTAGTGCGGTTTCCCTAGCATGGTAACTTGGGTAACTTGATTTGAGGCCCCTTAACAGCAACCCAATTGAGTGTTGAGGGTTTGCGGCGTCAGGATGGCTTTAATGACATGCTTGTGTTGAGGAACCACTGGCTGGGAGACATGGGATGTACTATTTTCGAAGCTACGAATGCATGTGGAGCTTCAGGATTGGGATTCCGGGCTTGAGGAGCAGAACGCGTAGCTTGAATCCAGGTGATTTCCACAGTATAGAGCTCTCATGTAAATACGTGTGCTTAGATTTGTAAGAGACAGGTGCTTCCGAAATTTCATGAAAATGCATTCGGGAGAATTCTTTGGTTATGCAGGGACCGCGTTAGGTGAGGGCTCTGATAATCCGGCTTGGCGAGCTTGCTTGAGCCTTGATGGGGCACCCAGAAAACGTTTCAGGTCCCCAACTTAGGATATGAGCTAGAGTCTGACCTCCTTGAATCCTTGAAGGGGGGTATGTAGGCAATATATGGGGGAGTACTATAGGGTAACTGAGGGGGATACTAGGAGTTTAGACTAGCTCATATGTTGACATTCAAGTGTCTCAGCAGTTGCCCTCTTCAATCCTGGTGTTGGTTTCCCCCTACTTATTGAAACTACTATAGAAACCCAGTTTCCATTTCATTTTCATATTCTTGTCCATTGATTCTCCGCGGCTCCCTAAACCTTATAAACCCAAAGCTCCCATAGTAGCTTTCACTTCATGTTCCACCTTCTTATCTGTTTGATTCTCCATGGCCTTGTTCGACCCCTATCATCTCCGAATCTCTACACATCCTCTGGGGCCCTTTTTGGAGAGAATCGCCTATTCGCGTATGTCTTCGAACTGGAACTTGCGCTGCGGCTGATTGGGGGGTTTTCTCCAAATGGGTTTCCAGCAATTACAGGTCCTTTTTCGGGGGGTCCTATAAGTACGAGAAACAATGAAAGGATTTGGGAGGCTGGTTCCTTTTGGGATTTCTTGGTCCAAAATCTTCCCCATGAAGCCCAAGATAATTGCAGGAGCCTTACCCAGAAGGTCCAAGCAATTTAATTTGGGCACTGAGACCCTTGGGGGCTACCCTAAGCCCTAAACGCCAAACCCTAAACCGCAGCACATCCTTGAAAAGAGATAGCTGAGATGGCTTGCCGAAGAACTTCCAGCGCCCACTTCTCATCTTTCAGCGACCCGACTTGGAGGCCTGCGTTGAAAGTTTTGAGGGTTTAGGGCGTCTGCCTGCGCAGGGCTGAATATCCATGGCCACTTCCAGACATCTGAGGGTGGCGGCACATCCTACGCCCAACGAGCCTCGTGGATCTCGCGCAAGAAGAGGGCTACGCACTCAATTGCCAGCTCAAGATCATCTTCCTGCTTTCCGACTATCAAGTAAAATTTTCATTACGGGCACGCCGCAGGGGGCCTCTGCAGCCCTTGGGAGACCCTTGCAGGTGAGGGGGCCTTGCCCGCAATACATACTTCTCAAGCCAGCCCAAGCAATCGCTCTGGACCTGATAGGGGCCCTGGGAAGTCAGTAATTTGACCTGCCCTCCTCCTCGTTGGAGCTGGGGGCCTGAATGCCTGGGAGGGATTGTCCTGGAGGCTTTATCCTGCCAGGCCGCAGCTTCGATGTTCCAAGAGGCTCGAGCGCCCATGCATATGATGAGCAGCGCTCTCGCCAGTTCAAAAGTTTAGGGACGAGGGTAGATACTAGAAACCCCGCAGACCCCCCAAGTGCCTAAAACCTTCAGAAGTGAGCTGTTCTAGTATATTAAAGCCTTGTGGGATGTTTGGTATGAACAGTCGGATTCAAATAAGGTGTAAGCTTTTGCCACCCAATAATCAAGACACCCCCCGGCTCCCCGGAAAGTCATTGCTGACCGTTACAGTTTCATGTAAGGGGGTGGGAGCATCTTCTGACAGGGAAAGGGAGTACACATTCAGATTTAGGGTTTTAGGTGGGTGGGGTCCGTCAATTGGTTTTAGGGGCTTTGGACACTTGAGGCATACGAGGGTGCCTCAAGGCACCGGCCAGTCCTCTGGTAAAGATGTTGGGTACAGGCCCTTGCTTAGGGGTTACCTCGACCCACCTTTTTAGGGTGAAGTCTTTCATTCCTGTGGTATGGTAGTTCCCAAAAATGGAGGACCCCATGATCGACACGAAAATACTACTGTCCTTACTATGGGGACCCCCCAAAATGGACTCCTAATTTTGGGGAAGGGAAGCTCCCATACGCTAAGACTCTGCCAGTACCATTACTTCGAGCAACAGAGTTGGCAAGAGTGAGTACTTCGGCCAGCAATTGGGGAGGTGTACTTAGGGTCTAGGTATCCAGCGTTCCGTGGGGTCCTAAATACCCACAGCCTTAGGGTTTAGGGTTTAGGGCATATAGTGGCCCTTATATACTCATTTTGTGGAGGGGTTACAGGCAGTCCTTCCAAAAGTTATAAATGTTGCAATTTTAGCCTTCCATCCTTATTCAAGTGAGTAGTGGCATGGCGCCGTATCAGGTCAACCTATAGTGAGCCTTGGAGTTAACTAGCCCTTCTGCCTCGCAAACGACCCGCAAGCAGCAGATTTCTGGCCGTGAAGCTTGACAATCAGATGCGGAACCCTACCCTCACCAAAACTTCGATGGGAAACCCCTTGTAGGGCCCCTTTGGAGCTTCCGTCTTACTTTCCAGGGTAAGCCCTGCCGCCAGGTGGCAGAGGAGAATGAAGAGCTGCCACGCAAACGCAAAGCAGCGCGATTTACAGAATGATGCTCCAAGTTTTATGGCGGGCGAGGCATTTAAAGTGGTGACCGGGTTGACAACCCCTGCCATGGGCCACTACTGCGCTCAATTCAGGAGGACATCAGAGAATATAATTAAGGCCTGTGGGGGTCTCATTTCAGTCAGGGTAATGCTTTTGGTAGTGGGGGTTCCATTATTTGAGTCCTTACCAAAGACGCAAGAGCGGAGTACACACACGTTGCAAGGAGCCAACAACCGGAAGAGCCATTATCTTTCAGGATAAAGCAGGATCCCAGCACAGAGTGTCAGGCCAAGAGTTAGTTGGAATCCTGATAAGGAGGGAGTAGAGCGTCATCTCGGTAACTGCAAGTGTGAGGCACCAGAGCTCAAACCGCGCCAAACTTGGCATCTGGAACCAAAATCGTGCCCAAATGTCAGCTGCCTTCTCAGTTGCGAGTATCGAAAAGGGCTTCTTGTCACAAAACTGGCAGTCGGAAGAATCCATTCCTTCATTCTTGCAATAGGGCTTATACCTTACCAGCTCCTTTTGGCACGTTATAAGTTTCGGAACCTCTGTCTTGCCACCCGTGCTGGCGTGTGGGCACCCTCCTCTACACTTGCAAGTCAATGACGGAATAGTCTCCTTCAGCGGCGACAATTTGAACAGAGAGATTCCATGCCGGTTTCTTATTCTGTACAAGCACTGCTGTTCAAGCCGATCTGATTAGCTCGGATATGTTTCTTTGTCCTTTTCATTGATGCTTGGGCATGATTTGGTTCGGGGCCAACCCTTTATCCTCGCCGGAGAAAGACATGCTTTACGTGTGGACAGCACCGGCAGCAGCAAAACGTGGCCCTGGTGATTTTAACATATTAATGTCCAAGTGCCAGACTTCCAGCCAGGAAAATCCTACGACTACAGCACTTGCGGGGCCTGCAAATCTACTGCTTCATCATTGGATCCATGGGAAGACTCAGATACCGTTTAGTCAAGGATGGGCCGGGGAATGTAGCAGTGGCGGAGGAGGGAACTTGTCTCTTTTTGAGGTTGAAGTAGGAGTTTGATGATGGTTTTTGGCGGGCTACGAGAGGACTCATTGGGTTGGGAAGACTGGTCAGTGTGTTTATAAGTTTATTAGCTGTCCACTTGGGGGGGCTATAAAAAACCCATGGGTCATGCATTCTGCGCACATATGAAGCTTGCAAGTGGGCCGGACTGTTGAAAGAAAACAGTACACGTGGGAGCTTTCCCAAATAGCAGCAGAGAATTCTTGATAAGGATCCCCATTATTTCCCTTTCTGCCCAGATAAATATATGTATGTATACATCTCTCTCTCTCTCTCTACCTCCCTCCTCCCTGAGTCTCCGAAGTGCCCCCTATTTTGCAAAACCTTGTCATCTCGTCCTGCAGCTGTTCACAACAGCTTCGAGTAAACGTTGGTCCCCAGAGGCTCCCAAATAGGGCAGACACGCTAAGAAGAGCTTTCCCTGGGGCGCTGAGAATTTCATAGGTGGCCCATCCTACTTTGGGCCCCCCGAAGCATCTTCCCTATCAAGACTGGCAAGACTTCCAACACGAACCTCGAAACCGTACATCCCCCTAAAGAAACATAGAATCCCACGTGGACCTTTTCAAGGGTATCGGCGGTCTTCGAGCAAGAGTTCTCCCGACGTCACTCTGATTATAGATTTGAGGTTGAGGGTTGACACTTCGGCTATAGGCAACAATTCACGTGGCAGAAGTACCGTGTAATCATCAGCCTACTTCTGCCAGCAAGGACAATCGCAGAACCTACCAACCGATCAGCTCGATGTCATTCAGGTCCTCTCAGTTGCAGCTTTAAGAGCGAGCTCACAGGCGCTTGTTAGAACACCGCGTCTCTAGGGTTCTGTGAGCTTTTTAGGACTTAGCTTGGACCTTAGACCCTTAACCCTTTGGGATTCCCTTACACTCCTATTATAGGTACCCAAGGGTTAGCCCTGAGTACGGGTCCTAAGTGCCACGTAGAGTACTCCCTGGAGCCCTAAGAAGAAGGACAGCACTACTTTGAGAAACCTGGACCTGTCGTCAGAAGGCCA